ATAAATAGTAGGTTTTGGCATGAACTCCCCTTGCAGGTGTCGTCTTGTGAGTGCACTGTGGGTCAGACACACAGATACACAGAGTTCATGTTTTTTTGTTTTGTTTTGTTATTCTTTTTGTTTTTTTCATTTGGGTTCTGTCTTGTTTTCTAGGAACTATGTTAAATGATTGTACTTCATATTTTATTGTATATTTTTATATAAAATTATCCTTGGGAATTTAAATTAAAACTATAAAGTAATTTCAAATTAATAATATGGAACTGCTAAATGAATATGATAAAAAAAATAATATTGTCATTTTCAAGAATCAAAAGGAGAAACAGCAAACTCTGTCAGCTGGACGAAACACAGTATTTTCCAGCTAATTTGACTAATTATGGTTGAGAAGGAAGCTGTCAAGAGTTTAATCTGTAAATGACCCTGAGGAAAACACTGATCTGTCTTAAATATGACACAAAGTCTTGTCCTCACCTCAGGCACTTTTAAACTTGTGGGTGTGATCTGAATCTGGGTCAGTGCTGATGCCAAGAATCATTTGGGTGGTTCACTGACACTGGGTGCAGTAAAACAGGTAGGTACACTTTACTGTCCCTGTAGGGAAGTTTGCCCTCTGCATTTGACTCATCCTTCAACTCCTCTGGGGCGTCCCAGGAGCAGTGGGCGGGGAGTGACGCGCCCGGAGACCCATCTTCAGATCTTCAGCTAGTCTTGGTCAAGACTCAGCTGGAGGATTTGATCTGTGGTGCATGTTTTGGGTTGATGAGCAGTGGTCTTGCAGTGAAGCATGAGTGCTGAACACTCAGCCGCCCTCACCCAGGTCTTGAGATTTAATGTCATATTGTAGCAAAGAAATCAGCAAAACATCTCAGAAATGTCACGCAGTGCACCTTTATAAGAGCATATGTGTGTGTGCATTCTGTGATGTCTCCAGCAGATGCTGCTGTAGAGTCGCCCTAAAGATGAGCCCAAACACCAGTGAACTCCTCTTATGTTGTTTCTGTTCTTGTGTTTCAGAGATCCCAGTGGAGAGGCAGAGGCGCTGGTTTAAACACTCTTTCCATCACCTTCTGGAGGTCGCTCACTCGGCCGACGCCCCACACGCTGGAGTCATGCTCAGCTCTGGGTACGACTCTAAGAATATATACAATATATACTGTCAATATAATATATACAATATACACTCAATATATACTGTCAATATAATATATACAATATATACTGTCAATATAATATATACAATATATACTGTCAATATAATATATACAATATACACTCAATATATACTGTCAATATAATATATACATATATATACACTCAATATATACTATCTATATAATATATAGAGTGTATAGTGTCAGTGAGAAAAGAGAACGAGAGCAGAGGTTGTTCTCTGCTCAGACACTTAACACAGTTTAGTTTTGGAGTGTGGTGAATGTGTTAAAGTTGACTTTTTGTCTTATTACCCTTTTCTACTGTTGATGTTATGTAATTATATTTTATTATTAGGTGTTTTTCTTGATGATCTCCGTAAAACTATTAACAAAGTTCATTTAAACAAGTCATTTGTTGTTTAACTTTTTGATGATTTTAAACAGTATTTTAAAAGTAATAGTATAAAAGTATTATAAGAAAGTAATCCCCAGGTTAATAGAGTCTAACTATTCTATTTTCTAGTGGTGATAACTTTAGTAGTGTGATATATAACATTAAAACAGTAACTATTCTAATCAGTTACTATTGATTTTTCCTAGCTTAGTTGTGAACACAGTTTTAATGACTTCCTGTTTGCTTTTGTGTTTTTCTCTTCAGGTGTGAGATGTTTAAGCAGGTCTCCTCTGTGTGTGTGTTTGTGTGTGTGTTTTCTCTTCAGGTGTGAGATGTTTAAGCAGGTCTCCTCTGTGTGTGTGTTTTTGTGTGTGTTTTTCTCTTCAGGTGTGAGATGTTTAAGCAGGTCTCCTCTGTGTGTGTGTTTGTGTGTGTTTTTCTCTTCAGGTGTGAGATGTTTAAGCAGGTCTCCTCTGTGTGTGTGTTTTAGTGTGTGTGTTTTCTCTTCAGGTGTGAGATGTTTAAGCAGGTCTCCTCTGTGTGTGTGTTTGTGTGTGTGTTTTCTCTTCAGGTGTGAGATGTTTAAGCAGGTCTCCTCTGTGTGTGTGTTTGTGTGTGTGTTTTTCTCTTCAGGTGTGAGATGTTTAAGCAGGTCTCCTCTGTGTGTGTGTTTGTGTGTGTGTTTTCAGGTGTGAGATCTATAAACAGGTGCCGTCGGTGAAGAGGCCCTTCTGGTCAGACCTGGTGATCGGTTTCAGGGAGATGAGTGTGTCGGAGCTGCAGAGGTTTCCAGAGCACAGCTTTGGGCAGGTCTTCACCACGCTCAAGTGTGAGTGCTCCAGATACCTGCCCTGGATTCAGCACAGGTACACATGTGCTCCTACTGTTACAGGAGACACTGAGTTTAAACAAGACACAGAAGGTTTTTTGTAGTTCTTAGTAATAAACCATAATATTTTACTAACTATATATTTTTTATGAATGCAAGTAGTATAGTGGTTGGGGATAGGGGATAGTTGAAAATGACATTTTCTAAGCACGCAATTGCAATTCTTGTCAAATAAAGTACAATCAAATATGTATCAAAATATGCTGTAGCTGATGTTATCATAAATGGTGTCTGTAAGTTAAACTTTTTCTTTATATAAAAATATCGAATTCTCTTGTTCCAGATTTGTAAAAGCTGGCGGTGTGGTGGAGCAGAGGCGTGTGTCCAGTCTGGAGGAACTCTCTGGTTTTGATCTGATCGTGAACTGCTCCGGACTCGGCTCCAGAACTTTAGCCCAAGACAGTACTGTTTATCCCGTCAGAGGACAGGTCCTTAAAGTATCCGCTCCCTGGATACAACACTTCATCTTTGACGGCGATGGAAAAACCTACATTTACCCAGGCATTGAAAGCGTCACACTGGGAGGGACTAAACAGGAGCAGGACTGGAGGCTGGAAGTAGATGAACAGGATACTACAGGGATTTTAGAAAGATGCAAAAAACTAGAACCATCACTGGAAAATGCCAAAGTTCAGAGTAAATGGGTGGGGTTAAGACCGAGCAGGAAGTGTCCAAGAGTAGAGAGAGAAGTGGTGCAAATGAAAGGTAAAAAGATGAGTGTAGTTCATAATTATGGACATGGAGCTTGTGGAGTGACACTGGCCTGGGGCTGTGCTGTGGACACACTTGGTTTGGTCAAACAGAGTTTACAAGAAATATCTCCAATGGCCAAACTGTGAGGAAAACTCTTTTGAGGCAGTGGGAATAACAGGTGAGCCTCACTGTACTGTACAAAGACAGAACAGATGTGTGAAGTGATATTTTTACTTACAATTATGGTAAAAAGAGATTTGATTTTAATAATGATTTTCTAAGAAAAGCAAGAAATAAACACAGGAATATTCAACAAATGAAGAGCTACAACCTACCCAGGATTAAATGAGGAAATGTCCCTCTCACCTTATCTGTAACACTCCACTTGCAGTTTTTCATATTTTGCAGCACCTGCCAGTGTCTCTGTCATATTTACTTGGGTGTATCATATTCACTGGTGTATAATTCTTTTGCAGATGTGTCCTGCTGGATTTTCCATGTATGAGCGAGTACTCTGTCCACAGAGCAGAGGTTACAGGAGACCTGTGCCAATGTGCACGCTCATATTATTGTGCTGCATCACTTTGTCCCTTTTTAAATATGTATGTTTAAAAATGTACATTTACACAGTTTGTATGGGTGATTTATCACGTGACATGACATCATGTGACTTGTACATTTAAAGCCCACCAACACACTCTTGTGAACGTCACGTGGCCTGATGAAGACACAAGTGGAAACGTGTTGGTGTTTGACATGAAATAAAATCATAGAAAGTATATCAGAGTGCCTCAGATCTCCTTTTTTATACAGGCATATTCAAATCAGGGAATGCACTAATTTAGTGACAAAAACCAAAAACATCACTGCTGCTAACTGTAAGAGAGAGAATACTGCTGTAGACTTTCTGTTTAAGAATGTGAAATGTTGAGGAATCGTTGTGTCAATTATACGGAAAAGAATTTAAATCAGTTTTGTACTGTAAAACTGTGTTGAACTTGTATAAGAGCATGTGTTAATTGTGACAGATTTTATGTATTAGTTTCAAACATTGCCGCATTACTTTTGTAATGTCATTTACTAAAAATAATATTATTAATGCTTTTGAAATGTTTTCTTTCTCACAAAACTATTACAACAACAAATAAAGTCAGATTTGTCCAGTCTGAGGTGGTTTTGGAGTTGTTCTGTAAGTATCAAGTAAGTCTCAATTCAAAAACAGGAAAGTCCAAGTCAAGTCTCGAGTCACTGGTCCATAAGTCCCAGTCAAGTCCAAGTCATCTGCTTTGAGCTTCAAGTCATTTCAAGTCTTTAAACCAAATATGAATTTTACACTAAATTGTACTTAAAAAGTCCAGGTATATTTATATACGAGTATTGATATAAGAGTTGTAAAAATGCAATTTTTTCCTTTTTAAACGTCTTGACAAGATCTTAGTGTGAATCATTACAGTCAAAACAGAAAGAATTCAGATTTAAAAGTTATAAGAGTTATTTTTTCACGTGTCTGAAATGGAAGCATCATGTTCTATGTAGTTTCCTCTATTTTACTGTATATTACTGTAGTACATTTGAGGATATCACAGTACTTCAGCTACATCCAAAGTAAAAACAGAGAAGTGGGAGTATCAACTGAAAGGGAAAAGTATTTTCTTAAAACATATTTTTTTGTCTTCTCAAGTCACAAGACTCAAGTCCGAGTCAAGTTCCAAGTCTTAGTCCATTTTATCAAGTCAAGTCTCAAGTCCTAAAAATAGTCACTCAAGTCTGACTCAAGTCCAAGTCATGACTTGCACGTCCCCACCTCTGCCCTCTAGTGGTCACAAAAAACAAACAAACAAAACGAGACCATCTTTCAGCAATGGGCATTTATTAATTAAGCTCAGCCACAAAAAAGAAACACTGAAAGTTGAATGTGAGAAACAGACGTGTGTTCAGATGAAGACACTGATACACCTGCTACACACACACCTGAACACACCTGAACACACCTGAACACACACTGAAACGTTTATATGAAACATCTGTCTGTAATATTGATCAGCCACAACATTACGACCAACGTAGATCAGGGTTAGACCTGGTTCAGTCCTGGTTTAGTCCCAGATTAAACCTGCTTTGATCCTGGCCAGGGTTAGTCCTGGTTTAGCTCTGGGTTAGTCAAAGGTTTAGCCATAAAATTATGACCAATTTAGATCAGGTTTAGACCTTGTTTAGTCATGGATTAGAACTGGTTTAGATTAATCCTGGTTCAGTCTTGGTTCAGTCCTGGTTCAGTCCTGGGTTAAACCTGCTTTAGTCCTGGTCAGAGTTAGTCCTGGTTTAGAGCTGGACTAACTCCACCTGACCTTTAGTCAGAGGTTTAGCGATAACATTATGACCAACTTTTGTTTGGACTTGCTCTAAACCAGCTCTAAATCAGGTCTAAACTAGGATTAAACCAATTCTTTTGGAGTGTCCCTAGTCTACAGTGGTCAGTATCAATCAGGGGTGGTTTAGTCCTGGTTTAGTCCTGGTTTAGACCTGGTTTAGTTTAGTCCTGGTTTAGTCCTGGTTTAGACCTGGTTTAGTCCTAGTTTAGAGCTGGTTTAGACCTGGTTTAGTCCTGGTTTAGTCCTGGTTTCAGGCCTGGTTTCAGGCCTGGTTTAGACCTGGTTTGGACCTGGTTTAGACCTGGTTTGGACTAGACTAGAGGCCAGGTTTCAGTCAGTTTAGTGTCATAATGTTTTGGCTGATTGGTGTGTGCCTTTTTGCGAAACTGAAATCATCATGAAATCAAAGAATTCTGTTGTGTCCAAAGCTTTAAATGTAATTATTATTGCTTGTGATTGTGAAAATGACCTGCCCACGTCTCTCTGTTCAACTCTTCCAGTTTTAGTGCATTTGAAATGAACTTTTTTCAACAATAATTTGAACATTTTTTAGTCTTTGTGTGCACGGCGCAGCTTTCAGGCACATGATCAAATTCTGTGCAACGTTACTTTAAAAATATACACAAATAAAAGAGGAAATGACACTGTACAATCTGAAAAACATTCACAAACTTATGTACAAAATGCAACTGTGTGAACTCAAGTCAACCCAAAACAACGACGAAGAGAAAGAGCTACTGTCAGTGTCACTGCTGGTTCAGAAACAAAGGACTAGGTAGTTTACAGGTTCTCTAGTCCTGGTTTAGTCCTGGTTTAGTCCTGGTTTAGTCCTGGTTTAGTCCTGGTTTAGTCCTGGTTTAGTCCTGATTTAGTCCTGGTTTAGTCCTGGTTTAGTCATGGTTTAGTCCTGGTTTAGTCCTTGTTTGGTCCTGTTTTAATCTTGTTTTAGTCCTGGTTTGGTCCTGGTTTAATCATAGTTTGGTCCTAGTTTTGTCCTGTTTTGTCCTAGTTTGATCCTCTTTTAATCCTGGTTTGGTTTCGGTTTGGTCCTGGTTTAGTCCTGGTTTAGTCCTGGTTTGGTTCTGGTTTAGTCCTGGTCCTGTATTTTAACTTCCTCTTTAAGGTTATGGGTCATTTTTTTGTGTTGAATTGTTAATTGCTATGGAAACAGTGTTATATTTTCACCTCTGAAACATTTGGATGAGTCTGGTACAGTTTCTGTCCTGATTAAGATCTGGTTTATTCTTTAAATATAATAATAAATATCACAATTATCAATAACTCTGGAATAATTCTTCTGAAAACGTACCTTTATCAGTTTAGGGAATGTAACATTAAAAAGTCAAAGGTGAGTAGAAGTTTTAGTGCTGCTGAAGTCCTGGTTTAGTCCAGATACAGTCTTGGTACAGTCTGTAATATATAACTAGACTTTACCGGGTCCAGTCTCTGTATAGTCCTGGTTTAGTCCTGGTTTAGTTGTAGTCCTCATACTGCGATGGTAGTCCAGGTTAAGACCTGTTTAAGACCTGTTTAAGACCTGTTTAAGACCTGTTTAAGACCTGGTTAAGACCTGGTTTAAGACCTGGTTTAGTCCTGGTTTATTTGTAGTCCTCATACTGCTATGGGGTCCAGGTTCTAACCATTTATACTTCAGTCTTGGTTTGGTTCAGATTGAGTCCTGGTTTAGTCCTGGTTTAGTTGTAGTCCACACTCCAATTGTAGTCCTGTTTATATCCTGATTAAGACCTGGTTTAGTCCTGGTTTAGTTGCAGTCTTCATACTGCAATTGTAGTCCTGTTTAAGTCCTGGTTAAGACCTGGTTAAGACCTGTTTAAGACCTGGTTAAGACCTGGTTAAGACCTGGTTAAGACCTGGTTGAGTCCTGGTTGAGTCCTGGTTGAGTCGTAGTCTTCATACTGCTATGGTAGTCCAGGTTGTAACTATGTATAATTCAGTCTTCGTTTGGTTCAAATTGAGTCCAGGTTAAGTCCTGGTTAAGTATGAGTTGAGTCCTCGTTTAATCCTGGTTTAGGCACGGTTAAGTCTTGGTCTCTTTCCAGGTTTAGATCCAATTTGATCCTATTTCAGTCTTGGTTCAGTCCTCGCTCCGTTCACCTTAGTCCTGGTTTAGTCCTGGTTAAGCCCTGTTTCAGTCCTGTTTCAGTCCTGTTTCAGTCCTGGTCTCTTTTCAGGTTTAGCTCCAGTTTTGGTCCTGATTTAGACCTGGTTTAGTCCTGGTTCAGTCCTGATTTAGTCCTGTTTCAGTCTTAAAGAGAGACCTCAAATGCCATATTGTTTGGAGGTGGTACTTGTTTGTGAAATGATGAGAGTTCAAATAGATTTCAAAACAAAAATCACTACAACTTTAAATAAAACACGCCTTCATGTGAAAACAACATGAACCTCAGTTAAATGTCAGTCCCGTTTAGAAATGTTCAAATGAACAAGTCCAATGAGTTAAAGAGGGAGTATTACACTTGTATGGAGCATTAACTGTAACACATAACATAAATAAGATCACCATATTACCTTTTATGAAAATAATCACCAAAAACAACGTGACATGTTTTAGTTTCACTTTCGTTTTTCATGCTCTGAGCCCCCCTCCCCTTTTGCTCTCATGTAAACACATATGGATGATCCTCTAAAACCTCTTCAGACATGTTTTTGATGAAGGAACAATGGTAGAAACATGGTAGAAAGACAAAAAAATTAAAACAGATTTTTGCATAATACCCCTCTTTTTTTTTTTTTTTTTAACTTCAGTTCTTATTTCTTGTGAACTGGTCCTTTGTCGTCTTCTTTTCCATCAATTCTCAAGCAGTAAAGTCACAAAAGCAACTGCAAACCCCCACAGTAAAACCAAGTAAAACCAACTTGCAAATGAGCCTTGTGAATGATTAAAATCTTGTTCCAAAGTTAAAATCTCTCAGTCCGTGGAGATGGTTTGGGGTTGGGTCGGGTCAGGGGCCGGTCCCCTCTTGGCTCTGGTCGAGGTTTTCATTGCTCTCGTAGCAGCCTGAGTCTCTGGGGGAGTCTCCCATCAGTCCTCGTCTCTGCAGCAGAAGTTTGTCCTGGGGTGGACCTAACCCTGAGGGGCTGCCGCGCTCCGGGTCACTGCTGCCTGTAACGCACAAGAGCGACAGCAGGGGGAGCCGTTACAACACGCAGACTACAGTGAAAGGAAGTCAAAGGTGAGTGTGTTTACAAAGCCACTCAAATCAGATAAGAACTAGAATAATTACATATCCAGGGACTAAACCAGGACTAAACCAGAACTAAACCAGAACTAAACCAGAACTAAACCAGAACTAAAGCAGGTCTAAACCAGAACTAAACCGGGACTAACTCAGGGCTAACCCAGGTCTATCCCAGGTCTAAATCAGGACTAAGCCAGGACTAAACGAAGACCAGGTTTGAGTCATCATTGGGGCAGGGTGTAAAATCTGTATGCATTAGAACTAACCCAGGTCTAACCTAGGCCTAAACCACAGCTAGACCAGGACTAGACCAGGACTAGACCGAGACTAGACCGGGACTAGACCGATACTAGACCAGGACCAGACTGGGACTAAACCAAGACTAAACCAGGTCCAAACCAGGTCCAAACCAGGTCCAAACCAGGTCCAAACCAAGTCTAAACCAGGACTTAAACCAGGACTTAAACCAGGTCCAAACCAGGGCTAAACCAGGTCCAAACCAGGGCTAAACCAGGTCTAAACCAGGTCCAAACCAGGGCTAAACCAAGTCTAAACCAGGTCTAAACCAGGACTTAAACCAAGACTAAACCAGGACTCACCGTCGTACTCCTGCAGTAGTTCCACGGCCGTCAGCAGCACTGCTCTGTGTTGACCGTCTCTGATGTTCAGTTCATCCAGATCCTCCTCCTCCAGAAGTTTAAACGTGTCCAGGTCCTCGTAGCCGTTAAACAGGAAGGTGGGCAGGTGCTCCTAACACACACACAGACAACACACACACACACACACACACACACACACACACAAACACACAAATACATGCATTTAAACAAGACATATTGGGCTTTTTATAATTTACTTTATTTGATTTTAACATTTAATATGACAAAAATAAGCATATGCAGAAACATGCTCAATTTCAAACATAATATGTAACAAAACATAAAGTCATATAGTCACATATTTATTCATTTTTATCTAGGTCAGGTTAGGAAATGCTCGTGCCCCGTACTGTCCAGAGATCATTGAGTACAGTGTTCAGATACAGTAGTAGTAGTAGTAGTAGTAGTCGTAGTAGTAGTTGTTGTTGTACCTTGAGGTTGATCCGTTCCAGCAGCTCTTCCACAGACGTGGGTTTGGGTTGTGGCGCTCTCCTCCTCCTTCGTGTTTTCTTGGGTTTGGGCGCCTCTTCGTTGATCACGTCCACATAAATGAACTTAAACGTGCCCACTTTCCCATTCAGCATGCCCATCCACGTGCCCATCGGAGGCTTACTGATGATGTCGATCACATCTCCACTCTGTTGGAACAAATACACACTTTACAATGGTCTCATCAAGTTATTTTTATAAACTAAACCAGGACTAAACCGGGACTGAACCAGGACTAAACTAGGCCTAACCCAGGACTAAAGCAGGACTAAACCAGGACTGAACCAGGACTAAAACAGGACTGAACCAGGACTAAAACAGAACTGAACCAGGACTAAACCAGGTCTAAACCAGGACTAACCCAGGACTAAAGCAGGACTAAAGCAGGACTAAACCAGGACTGAACCAGGACTAAAACAGGACTAAACCAGGACTAAAACAGGACTGAACCAGGACTAAAACAGGACTGAACCAGGACTAAACCAGGTCTAAACCAGGACTAACCCAGGACTAAAGCAGGACTAAACCAGGACTGAACGAGGGCCTGTACCTTGAGTTTGAGTGAGTCGGAGTCGTAGGGGCTGGGGGTGAAGTCTGTATGAACCAGGGCTCGTCCACAGAAGGGTCCTTTGTACGGGGGCTCCTCTTCCTCTCCATCCTCGCTCTTCACACTCTCTCTGTTACTGTGGGACGAGTCTGTGGTGCCCACCGTCTGCCCGCCTAAAAATACACAAAACAGGTTAATAAGGACCCCAAACAGCACGATGAGGATTTCTTAGGGTTGGCTGATGTCAGGATATTTTTCTCTCATATTAATCATTAATTCATTTTTGTTTTGAGTTTACTTGTCAAACACAATAAAAATGGCAATTTACGGTAAGTATTTAATTCATGAACATAAACAATGTCATTTAAACATTTTTGAGAAACATAATTTAAAGGTGCATTGTGTAACTTGGTGATGGGTCCGTCACATGCTTTTGTCCATGGAGATGTTACTGCTTTGTCTAGAAGAGTGTTTCCCAAAGACTGGGTTGTGACCCTCAGGTGGGTCACAAGAGATTTATTTTGGGTCACCTTGTCACGATCTGCATGTACGTCTGTGATATACACTTCTGACACTCGAGAGAGCGAGTGAGTCAGTGAATCCTCTCTGCCTGCCCTGAGCGACTGTTCCTGCAGCTAAAGTTGAGAAATGCTTGGTTATCCAAAAAGAAGGCAATAAATGAGCAAATGTCAGTGACTGTTTTTCATTGTTTAAAACTTGAGTAAAACTAATTGTTCAGAGACACGATCACTCAGTCAACAATAAAATATCCTCATTAATGTTCAATAATGATCAAATCCACCTTTATTTTGTTATTTATCAATAATGTCTGTTGACTTGGGTAGCGAAGGTTTTAGTCCAGTTCCTTATATTCAAATTTTTACCTTAGTGGGAATTTTTGGGGGATTTGCTAAACTATATATTTTTGGAAAGGTTATAGTTTATGGAGTCAGAAAATCAATGTTTGCATTTGCCCAGATGTCTATATGGCGGCCATATTGAAGTAAAAAAAAAATCACCGCCGTAAATATAAAAATGATAGTATCTCGACTTCTGAATAAACTGAAATGTTGATTTTTACTGCTAAATCCACATTGTAAGGGTCAAGGAATCCAGTGGTGCTAGTTACACATGACCATATTAATCCTTCAGTACATGAGTAGATAATAATAACTCAGTGTGGTTGTTTTCGTGCAATATGTTTGGAATGAAAAGTTTACATTTCATTTCAGGCATATTTGTGACTTTTAAAATATGGGTCCCCAGAAAAAAAAAGTTTGGTTTAGAATGTTCCACAGTGTGGCATTAAACCTTTCTATCTTCATGGAGACCAAACCAAACCAGACCAAGTTACAGGTCAGATCTGTGGAGATCCCGCTCACAGTCAGAATGTTTGTTTTTCTAGGTATTTTTTAGTTATAAAACCACCTGTCGCTGAATAAATGTAAAGTAGAGCTGTTTAATGTCATACTGTGGAACATTTCAGGCAGAGCAATGACATCTCCATGGAAACAAGCAGCTGACGGACCCCCAACCAAAAAGTTACACAGTGCAGTTTTTAATTGTGATTTTTCTGAAAAGTATTGTGATTTTTTTTTTTCTGAGGCCATTCTAATATCAAAATGACTGAGCCAACTCAAATTGTGATTGTGATTTGACATAAATTCCAGCCATACGTTAGACGGCTGGAGACTAAAATCAGTGAATTCTGTTTTTCACATTTTGAAGACAGTTAGAATCTTTGTGTTGTGTTTAAGCTTCGTGTTGTACTCACTCATGGAGCTGTGTCCGCTGAGAGAGCTCCTCAGACTCTCCACAGACCCCCCGGGCTTCAGACGAGGTTTGTCCAGAGAATCAGAGTCTGTGTGGGGGGAGTGAGGAGAGCTGGGCCCCCGCTCTGGACTACACTGCACACACACAAAAACAAACACACACACATTTATTATCATCACACATATTAACCACAGCATTTGTACAGTCTGTTCTGTCGGGCTAAATCTGGGCTAAAAATATCTGAACTGCAAATGGGATTAAGTTTGTGATGCATTTGTTTAATGTTTGGACTGTATCGTGTTTCTCTCGCCTGCCTGTGGTTAATGTTAAACACATTCAGATGAAGGATTCAAAGAGTGATTTTAAACAGATCCGTACGTGTTCAGACAGGGAGGACGTGTATCTTCTGGAGATGTGTTTCCTCATCGTGTCTCTCACAGATTTCACTTTTTTCCCCAAAGAAATTCGAGTCGTTGGAGGAGACTTCAGACCCTCCCTCGCTGAGCTCTCCTCTGGTTTGGCCTGAAAATAAGACATGGGAATAGGTTTAGTCCAAGTTTGAGATCTGGTTTAGTCCAAGTTTGAGATCTGGTTTAATCCAACTTTTAGATCTGCTTTAATCCAAGTTTTAGACATGGTTTAGTCCAAGTTTAAGACCTGGTTTAGTCCAAGTTTAGATCTGGTTAATTCCAAGTTTAGATCTGGTTTAGTCCAATTTAGATCTGGTTTAGCGCAAGTTTGAGACCTGGTTTAGTCCAAGTTTAGATCTAGTTTAGTCCAAGTTTGAGAACTGGTTTAGTCCAAGTTTGAGAACTGGTTTAGTGCAAGTTTAGAGTTGGTTCAGTCCAAATTTAGACATAGTTTAATCAAAATTTTAGACCTGGTTTAGTCCAAATTTAGAGTTTAGAGTTTAGACCAGTTTTCCAGCTGGTCTAAACTAGTGCAGGTCGATTTCTGAACCAGTCCATGTCATTATTTGATTGTGATATACATACACTGTAGTAACAAAAATAATTTGTTTAACTTGACGCTAAAATGATTCTTACAGTGTTTTCTCCGTCAGAGCAGACTGTGTATAGAGAGCGGCTCGTCAGATCAAATCCTCCAAAACTGCAGGCTCTCTGGAGAGGAAAATCATAAATACCATCAAAAATGTTTATATGTTAAACAACAAATCCTAAATTTAAGACTTAGACAAACTTTATTGATCCACATGAGAAATGTGTGGCTGAAATGTTTATTAACTTTCCAGACAGAGCAATGACATCACCATAGAAACAAGCAGGTGACGAACCCTCAACCGGAAAAGTTACACAGTGCACCTTTAATATGTGAAGGAGAGTTTAAACTGACATAACTCATGCATCACCGCAGCCACTCACATCCCAAAGAGTCAAAGAAAGACTCAGATGGTTCTTTCCTTCTAGTTTGCAATAGATAAAATGTTTAGTATTTAGATGAAGCCCGTGTGTAGGCGGAACAAAACTGTAATTACTAATATATACACAAAAACCTTGGACTTTAAGCAGCACTTATAAAAACTGTACACATCTGGAGACCATTTTGGTACTGTTAATTTGAGCGTTAAACTTCTGTGTGAGTGAAAACAGCCCCATATGTGTGAGTGTGAGGGTGGATAATTATGATGCTGTAGACTGGAGCCCATATTAAAGCTTTACAGTGGCACTAATTAGGAAAAGGCCCCTGGAAAACTGAACAAAACAGATATTTTCTATGTCAAAATACAGTAAATTATGAGACGAGAATTTAAACGTTAAATGTGACTTATTTGGGAAGTAAGTGCTTGTGTTACAGATTTGTTTTTCCATTTCAGTTTTTTAGTCTGAAATTTGGCTGATAGTTGTTTTGACGTGTCTAACGGGACAGTGGATGGAAGTCACCCTTTGGCGTGTTTCCAGTGTTTACATCAAAGTGTCTAATCATCTTTAAAGCAGAGGAACTTCTCAGCAGGTGGATCAGGAACCAAAAGAGGATCTTGGGCACATTTTGAGCAAATAGATAGTAAATAGATAATCCCAAAGCTTGATTTAAAGGTGCACTGTGCCACTTTTCTAGGGGAGGATTTGTCAAATGCTTTTCTCTATGGAGATGTTGTTGCTTTGTCTGGAATGTTTCACAGTATGGCATTAACCCTTTTTATCTTCATGGAGACCAAACCAGACCAAGTTACAGGTCAGATCTGTGGAGAGGCGACCCCGCTCACAGTCAGAATGTCTGTTTTTTCGAGGTATATTTGAGCTGTAAAACCACCTGTGATTCCAAATCCAAATCCGCACTTAAAATACTTTCATTTTCTCAAAAATCGACAGTGCACCTTATAATCTCGTGCCTTATGTAGTAATTCTGGTTGTGTTTACTGACCTCAAAACGATTTTATGTGACACACGGCGCTCAAAAATCTGTCAAGAATAGTGTGATTTTGGTAAACTACAAAGTCACACCGCTTGATGGACTGTCAGAGCATTACAGCTGCTGTAGTCAGGAGGGTCACGGAGTCGTGTCCTTTAGTCCAACAGAAGCTGAACCACATCAGCGCACAAGGAGTGAGCTGTTTTTTCAGTGTTTATAAGTTTATGCAAGTTATCCATGTGGTTTTAAGTTTCATTTCTGTAAAACTTAAACAAATGTGCACAAAGCTGCATTAAACACATTATTACTCAATGTGTATTTGAGTCGTCCTTGTAGGAAATAAAAAAATAAACTTAAAACTTAAATAATCCCTCCACATTCACATTCATAATCCACATGCACCAAGACAGAGAGACAACATCGGGCGAGTTAAACCACGATCTGCCAATGGATCATGAATGTCTGGACTAAGAATCAGTCTCAAGTGTCGTCCTCCTTCTCTTAATGCTCCTTATAATTTGGTGCGCTTTAAGTATGAGAATAGACCAGCGAATTCAACATTATTGATATTGCATCTTATAATCCGGTGCGCCTAATAAAATACGGTAAATGTAAAGTAAAGCTGTGTAATGTCAAGAAGCAAGGAGGAGATGGAACACTAACTAAAAAGCTAAATAATGCAGTACAGTATTTTTTAGGGTTTATCATGCATTGTTCATGGTTTTTGAAGCACTTTTGGAAATCTTAGACATGTCATTATTATGTTTTATGATTAAATCTCTTTATAATGTATAATGTGTCAAACAAGTCCAAATAATTTTGCTTCATTTTAAGAGTAGTTATAAATGCAGAGAACACATGCAGATGAACACATACAGTGAAAAATTAGAACATTATGAAAAGATTCCCTGGCTCATACTGTTGCTGTGCCATTAGGCAAGACACCGCACCCATTATTCTCTCTCCAATCAAAGACAAATGTAAATATTCAAACACAAAAAAACTCAAACTTTGAGCTTTTTGTGAAACCTGGGCGCTCCAGTATAAAGGTACATCTCCAAAAAAAAAAAAAAAAGTTTAAAATTTTTTGTCACTCAAGTTAGAAATGAATGAATTAATCTTTTGATATAATTATAACTTAACTCACTAAATTGAGTGACCAAAAATAGTGAACTTTTTCTAATTGTTGGAGATGTACCTGTATACTGGAGTGCCTACATTTCACACAAAAAATAAAGGTTTGAATAGCTTTCCTTTCGTGTAAATATTTACATTTTACTGTGATTGGAGTGGGAATAATGAGATATATGTTTTTATTTGTATTATTTTATTTCTATATTTTTGTTTATTTTTACATATACCGTATTTTTTGGACGGTAAGTGGCACTTTTTTCATGGTTTTTATGGTCCTGCTCCTTATATATTAAAATGTTGAGAGTGAAGTGGTGAGAGGTTCTAGTCTTGTGTGTGAGTATCTGCTGCTCCTGTTCCTCCTGCACCACTGTCACTTCACTCTACTGCACATGTCTCCTGCAGAAAGAGCCTCTGTTCTGTCTGTATCATGTCAGTCGATCGCACCATTACTTCTGCACCACTGAACACTTAATATTTAAACAAACTTATAAAGACGACTGAGAAGACTGAACACAAATGCCCCAAAAACAAAATCACAAACCGCAAGTCGTGAAATCTGCAGCTGAAAACACAAATCGAGCAGCAGAAAGAAAGTTTGGAGTGAGAGAGAAACTTGTGACATCGGGAAGATGCACCATGAAACTTTCCTGAAGTCACTGGATGATGGACAAAGTCTGGACTTCAGTGACACCGAAACCATCCTGTCGAGATTCAGAAAGACCTGAATAATTCTAACTGGAACTGATGCTGAGTCTGACGACAGTGACACAGAAGAGGAAGCGGCGCTCTGTTTACCTCCAGAGGTCGAGGTCGAGTTGTTCAGAAGTGACACCGAGGATGAAGAATTGAATGGATTTAGTGATTTGGAGTGAGATGGAGAGTTTGTTAAACTTGTTCTGTTCTGTTGTTTATGTTAGAGTTTATCTGAAGAACTGTTCATATGTGATGTTAACAGTCTGTTGTTCTCTCTTCTAATGTTATTACTAGAACTTGACTTTACACAGGAAATGTCAGTTGCTGATCTCTGATTTTATAAAATAATTTACCTCCACAAATAGTGACTTATATATGTTTTTTTCTTCTTCATTATGCATTGTTTTGTCTGATGCAACTCCGGAGCAACTTATAGTCTGAAAAATAAGGTACATTTATATAATTAAGCCTAATTTGACACTTGTCTCTTGCCATTGCTCTTTATCAAGAATGTATTATTACAATTTATATTTTTTCTCATGTTGCTATAATATATTGTGATGTGTGAGCTACTGTGTCCAAATAATTTCCCTTGTGGATCAATAAAGTTTGTCTAAGTCTTAGTCTAAGTAATAATGTGGTGTCTTGCCCAATGGCACAACAGCAGTATGAGCCAGGGAATCAGGGAATTGCACCACTGACCTCCTGGTTGCCTTAAATTTGATCAGACTAACAGTATTTGACTCACCCCGTGTAAACTTCCTGCACTGAGCGATCTCTGAGTCAGCTCTCCGTCTGTGACCGACCGCGCCAACTTCGGCCCCGCCCCCTTCTCGACAGGACGCGCCTCCCTCTCGGCCCCGCCCCTCTCCTGCCTCTGCTCCGCGGCGCCCCCTGGCTGGCTCACGGGGCTGCGGCTGGAGTTGGGCCGGGTGTAGGTGTCAAGGCTGCCTGAAGAGGGCGACGTCGTGATGGAGTCTGTGTCCCTGTCTGAAGACGTGAGCTGGTCCTGCAGCAGAGAGGCCAGCTGCTCCACAGGGGGCTTCTTCTGGACCCCCGAGTATAAAGGACTGCCACAGGGGGAGCTGTCGGGAGCCTGGGGGTCTGCACACAGTGAATGTGGAAGAAAGATGGTCATTTAAAAAGTTTTTTGTTAAAAAGTTTTTCTTAGAAGTGCATTGTTCAACTTTTCTGGTGGAGGGACCTTCAAACACTTTTCTCCATGGAGATGTTATTGCTTTGTCTGGAATGTTTCACAGTATGGCATTAAACTTTTCTATCTTCATGGAGACCAAACCAGACCAAGTTACAGGTCAGATCTGTGGAGAGGCGACCCCCGCTCACAGTCAGAATGTCTGTTTTTCTAGGTATTTTTGAGCTGTAAAACCACCTGTGATTCCAAATCCAAATCCACTTTATTTCTACAGCACATTTCACAAACAAAGCGTTTCCAAAGTGCTGCACAGAGACCAGTAAAATGAAGACAACAAAAAAGTAAAATGCTAAAATGTGGTCATACCAGTCCTAAAACAATAAAACCAGTAAAGGCAAATCAAAGCAAAACCATAAAAATCATGAAATAGCAATAAATAAGTAAATCAAATAAAATAAATAAGAGATTTATTGAATAAATGTAAAGTAGAGCTGCTTAATCTTACACTGTGGAACATTCCAGACAGAGCAATGACATCTCCATAGAAACAAGCAGGTGACGAACCCCCTTCCAAAAAGTGACATAGTGCATCTTTTAATATGTACACAAATGAATCTTTGATGAGCTTTAAATCCTGCTGTGATGGTGTTTTGTCACTGTTGTATTTTGACTCTGGTTCTTCTTGATACTTTGCAGATGATGTCATCAACATTCCCTGGGAGTGTGATGCTAACTGTAGGCATGCTCAGTCTGAGGTTTTGTTAGACTTTAATCTTAGGTTTATTTGAACACAATCTGACTGAAAGAGCTGACATATGTGGAGTCTCTTTCAGCTTTTTGTTGAAACTCAAACTCTTAAACAGGAACATGAACACTCACACTGATCACAGGCTGCTGAAAATGTGTTCTTTAAATCCATTTGGTATCCATTTTGTATTTTGTCTTCAGAGGATCTTAAACCTGGCAGTGTGTGTGCATTGTGTCATCATGATAACCGCTGAACATTCCACCATAGACATATGTGGAACACCCCCAGTATCAAGGTTGAAAAATGTAATGAAGCTATTTTTCTGCGACAAATCACAGGAATGAAAATGTGCTGCTGCTTTTGAGGAAATGCCACTGAGAGGACGTGGGAACCATCAATTCGGCTGTTTTTAACAGGAAGTCAATGAACTCCTTTGTATTAGTATCACGACTTTAGAACAATGGTCACAAGAGACAAAATGTAAAATAATGTCACTCACAGTTTGATACCACAGTATAAAACCATAAGAGCAGTTAAAGCTACAGTAACTTTCTGAAGGTGACACGTCTCCTGCGCAAGTCCAGGCAAATAGAAACTATATAGAGGCTTTGCACCGTCACGTGACCCCCACAGCAACGGTACTACGCCGATCTTTCATGTTTCACATTCTTTCCGGACTCATCACACATGTCATTGACTTGACAAATAAACTATGAAACAATTTAAATAGCAAATACCTTGATGAAACTTCGTGTGTCTTGATGGTACCATTGGAAATCTCTTCGTGGTTTATGTTCTCTAGCCATAATTCCCATCTTTTTTTCAATAATTCCCTTGTTTGAGCTCCTGATGAGTCATTTCCAGAGGAACAGTGAAGAAACGAATAGTTTTATCCCGTTCAGAGCGTCTAGAACAACCAAATACACAACAAAACCTGCCCATGTTTCTCCGATGCTGCTGAGGTCAATGACATAGTGTGTCCGGTGTCATGGCGGCGTAGGTACCGTTGCCATGGGGACATGGGACGGTGCAAAGCCTCTATAGTTCAGGACAGTCTCCATGGAGATAGAAGAGTTTTATTCCTACTGTGGAATATTATTATAATCAAAGGAACAATATCTCCATGGAAACAAGCAGGACGACGCCCTCCTCCAGGACAAATGAGAGTTGGGTTTGTGAAGATATAAGGTGGCTCAGAATAAGGACGGATGTTTTTTTTCAGTTTTTCCGTCTCTCTCTTTTGGCTAAAAGTTACATACTGTGGTTTTAAAATAAGAATATTGCTTTTTTGACAGATTGGTGCGACTAAACGAATCTTGTGGGCTTCGTACCTTCTCCTGCGTGTCTCCTGCTCTCCTCGTATCTGATCAGCTTCTTCTTGACTTTCCGAGTGGAGTGGACCAGTTTGTGCAGACCCCTGAAGGAGACCGAGTCCTCCTCATAATCGGACAGGTCACACGGCTGCAAGAAGAAAAACAATTCAATATTAAAACTACAGAAACACTACAACCAAAGACTCCAAGAAATACAAATACAAATCACCAACACTGCAAAGTTAAAGCCCAATAAACAGTAACTGAAACTATTATTAAGTGTAGGGATGGAGTGAGACAATTTCCACAAGACGAGATATGAGATTAGGTCCACGAGAACGAAACTTTTAACATCATTTCATTCTTAATATATACATTTCACAATTTCAGTTTGCATTTTGGCCACAGAATCTTTTATGTATTTGATTTCCTGTTTTTGTTTCTGTTCTAGTACTGCTTTTTGGAACTGTAAGAGATCTTTTTTTTTTTCCTGTGGCAGTTTTATCTCACCAGATTTTGTACAATCTCTAAATTTTCTGCTGGGAGTCTGTTTCCTGCTTGTTTCCATGGAGATGTTATTGCTTTGCCATGGACATTCCACAGTAAGGCATTAAAACATCTAACTATCTAAAATGACTTGAAAAGCAGGGAAAACAACATCTCCATGGAAACAAGCAGGTGACAGTCCCTACAGCTGAAATGTTACATAGTGCATCTTTAACTACTTTAATGAACTGACTTATTGCAATACTTATCTTTTATTTATTTATATCTATTTGTTTGTTGTTTTTTGTTTGTTTGGTGGTGGAGAGGTAAAGTAAAGTAAAGTAAAGTAAAGTAAAGTAAAAATGTAATTAAATAATAAACACTGTTGGGCAGGTTACTTGAGAACTGTGCGTTATTTATGACTTGTTACTGTCATTTCAAAGTAATTAGTTACATTACAATATTACTGTATTCTAAATGTAAGGCATTACACTAAACTACAGTACTTTTAAGTTACTCTCAACAAAATAACTGGAAATATGGATTTGGCAATCGAAATGTAGCTCATAACGCTCAAGTAGCTCATCACAACTCCAGAATCTGACTGAGCTGAACATTTTTACTTTTAAAGAACGTCTCAAACTGCATTAACAGTGCAGTTTTGTGGACTGGATGGCAGACGATAAATTCTATGGAAAATGTGGATGAGACGCTGCAATTTAAATTTACAACTTTTCAAGAGGCGAGGAATAAATATTTTCACTATTTCCTGAGTTTGTATCTTGTGCTTGTGTGTCTGTCACTCCTCTGTCCCTGATGCTCTGTTTTATTGACTGTTACTGTAGCGTTGCTGATGTTTTGGTGGTTATGATCTGACAGTAACACACACACACACGAACGAGGAGCACAGTGACTTCAAAATCGCACACAAAGACACAAAGTCGGTTCACGCCTCCCTGAACTTAGGGAGAAGCAAATCACAGCCTACATCAAGCAATGTGTGGCAGACTTTAATAATACAGCTGATGTGACTCACAGTGATGTTATGTATCTGTTCTGAGCTGATTGAACATTCAACACTACTGATCTCGTGGTGATTTTAGCAAATTTGTATGAAGAAGAACAAAAAAACAACACTTCAGTCCATTTCTTTTCTGTTCTGCCTTTCATTACTGCGTTACAGCAAAAAGCAGTGCATTACAGTAACTGGTTAACATATCCAACACTGACAAAAAAAAGATAGTAATAATGAAGTGTAAAGTGTCACCAGTCCACACTCTGGTTACCCATGAACATATGTTATTATTACATCACATATTTGCAGAGTTGAACTTCCGTCTCTCCTGGGCTCAAATGACAAAGCATTGAGTTTAACTCAAAGCTAACAGCTCTGTTCCTTTATGAGGTTTTAATGAGTTCTCTTTTTAAACCAACTTCCACTTTTACTGTAACCTCCACCAATACAATCAAATATAATCAAATATAATGAAGTATAATGACATCTGCGGTGAGGAAGGACACTTTCAGAACTCAAGGATTTTTACAGCTGTGACTGATGGACTAAACCAGGACTAAACCAGGGACTAAACCAGGGACTAAACCAGGACTAAACCAGGGACTAAACCAGAACTAAACCAGGGACTAAATCAAGACTAAACCAGGACTAAATCAAGACTAAACCAGGACTAAATCAGGACTAAATCAAGAATAAATAAGGACTAAATAAGGATTAAATCAAGGACTAAACCAGGGACTAAACCACCAGGCACTAAACCAGAGCCTAAACTAGGGATAAAACCAGGGACTAAACTAAGAATAAATCAGGACTAAACAAATGAGTAATGTTTGGCTATAATCTGTGCTGGATGTTTCATTTGGCATTAATAAAAAACATTTTAAGGAGCCTAAACTTGCGCATGTGGTCTAATCTCACACACATTTTAGACAATTCCTTTCCATTTCTCTAGAAAAAATGAGAAAATATCCTGCAGATGCGAGCGGAAGCGGGAATGAAAATTACAATTCTTAGTGGGCGGGAGCGGGACTGCACAGTGCGGGTGCGGGCGGGAGGGCGCAGACCTCTAGTTCACTTCCCAAAATTGTGTTCAGTTCTTCAGTTGTGATTGAAGGTTTTATATTACACAAAATTGACTTCTGTGATCTTTAAGTCATGTTATAAAACTGTTACCTCATCAAAAACAGACCTGGAGTTCAAGCTCAACATGCTCTGTTCCACCTTGTGATGTCATGAAGTGGTAGTTGGGCAGCTTCTTTTAACTTTTGTTCAGTAGAGATTGGCAATTCCAGGGCTGAAATGATCCAAATGATTCTAGGTGTATGTTTGAGGTTTAAGGAGCATTTCCTGTATCACCACATGACATCACAAGGTGGAACAGAGTGTTTTCTGTTTGAGAGAGAAGCTCAGCCTAAATGTGCAGAGTTTGTGTGTTAAACGTGTGAATGCAACAAAACACAACTGCAGGTGTGTTTCTGATGAGGAAACAACATGACAGATCAGAAAAAGTGTAATATGGGTAATATAGGAAAATTTGCCCCTTTGCATTTGACCCGTTGTTCAGTCCCACTGGGGTGACCTTTCAGGAGCAGTGATGAACTTTTTAACACGTTTAAATCCTCAAAACGTCAAAAAGTTCTGTCAAAGCTTTGTAAGATTTAGCCTAGCCCTGCTCAGGGGGAAAAACAGCCAGTGTCATTTTAAACTTAAAGCTGCACTGTGTAACATTACTACTCAGGGGATCACCACCTGCTTGTCTTGTTTTTGCTTTATCTAGAACAGGGGTTTTCAAATTGGGTGAGTGTGAGCCTCCCCTTAAAGTAGGTAAAGACGGCCAAGATCAACAACCAAGCCAAAATCCCATCTGCCTGCAGGCCATAGTCCTGGTTTAGTCCTGGTTCAGTCCAGGGATCAGTCCTGGTTTAGTCCTGGTGGTTCAGTCCAGGGATCAGTCCTGGTTTAGTCCTGGTGGTTCAGTCCAGGGATCAGTCCTGGTTTAGTCCTGGTGGTTCAGTCCAGGGATCAGTCCTGGTTTAGTTCGCTTGTGTTGCGCCTCCCCAGTGGCTCTCTAGTGCCCCCAAGGGAGGCGGGCCTCACATATTGAAATCCTCTGGTCTAGAATGTTCCACAGTATAGACTTAACCTATCAGATAAGCAGGTTAGAGCACTACGTTACATTACAGGTCAGATCTGTGGAGAGTTGCCCCAATTCACTGAAGATATTATTGTATTTTTGAGCAACAGAAGCACCTGTAATGAATAAATACTAGATGGATGAGTTTAAAGTCTTATAAAAGTGAAAACTGCATAAAACACTCAGTATACCAATATCACACCAGTATATATCAGTATGTGTATACTGTGTGTATGTGTGTATCAGTATGTGTATACTGTGTGTATGTGTGTGTATCATGTGTGTATGTATGTGTATACTGTGTGTATGTGTGTATCAGTATGTGTATACTGTGTGTGTATGTGTGTATCATGTGTGTATGTGTGTATACTGTGTGTATGTGTGTATCAGTATGTGTATACTGTGTGTATGTGTGTATCAGTATGTGTATACTGTGTGTATGTGTGTATCAGTATGTGTATACTGTGTGTATGTGTGTATCAGTATGTGTATACTGTGTGTATGTGTGTATCAGTATGTGTGTACTGTGTGTATGTGTGTATCAGTATGTGTATACTGTGTGTATGTGTGTATCAGTATGTGTATACTGTGTGTATGTGTGTATCAGTATGTGTATACTGTGTGTATGTGTGTATCAGTATGTGTGTGTATGTGTGTGTGTGTATGTGTATCATGTGTGTATGTGTGTATACTGTGTGTATGTGTGTATCAGTATGTGTATACTGTGTGTATGTGTATGTGTGTATCAGTATGTGTATACTGTGTGTATGTGTGTATCAGTATGTGTAGTATGTGTGTGTATGTGTGTATCAGTATGTGTATACTGTGTGTATGTGTGTATCAGTATGTGTGTACTGTGTGTATGTGTGTATCAGTATGTGAGTACTGTGTGTATGTGTGTATCAGTATGTGTGTACTGTGTGTATGTGTGTATCAGTATGTGTGTACTGTGTGTATGTGTGTATCAGTATGTGTGTACTGTGTGTATGTGTGTGTATCAGTATGTGTGTACTGTGTGTATGTGTGTATCAGTATGTGTATGTGTACTGTGTGTATGTGTGTATCAGTATGTGTATACTGTGTGTATGTGTGTATCAGTATGTGTGTACTGTGTGTATGTGTGTATCAGTATGTGTGTACTGTGTGTATGTGTGTATATCATGTGTATGTGTGTAGTGTGTACTGTGTGTATGTGTGTATCAGTATGTGTATACTGTGTGTATGTGTGTATCAGTATGTGTGTACTGTGTGTATGTGTGTATCAGTATGTGTGTACTGTAGTCCAAAGCAAGAAAAATGATCTGACAACGGCTTTTTTGACACAACGTTATTTAAAAATGAAACATCACCCATCTGAGTGTGCTATGCATTTTTTCACTTTTATTTTGCTGTTCTTTACATTTGCACCTCGACAAGAACTTTGGTGTGCGTTTTCTGTTTCATATATTTAAAGTCATACCATGGAACATTCCGGGCAAAGCAATAACATCTCCATGGAGACAGGCATGTGATGGACCCTCCACTAGAAAATTTGCGCAGCAGTGAACCTTTCAGATTATTTATAAAGTTATTAATTCATGCACAGGGTTATGTTTGTACTATGAATTATAAGTGCTGTGTAAACAATAACTAGAGTTCTATTTACTGCTGAGCTTGCAGTCCAGGAAAACCAAATCTGTATTATTTTATTTCATGTATTTATTTTTGTGAACAGATAAAATAAACTTGGGCTTTCACATTGCCTTGGATGTAAAATGTGTATATGACTTTACGTGTCATTTTCACACAGGTGGAGACAGTCTGACCAAAGCCTTTTTATAAACCCCAGTCAAAACCACAGCGATGACTTTTCAGCATCTGCTTCTCATTTACTGCACAGCAACAGCCTCGAAAGTCCCTCCTTATTTTACACATGGACAAATAAAAGCTTGTGGTCTGGGCCTCAGAGTTTTTAAAGTGTTTAGGTTAGAACAGCAACACAAATATGAGCGGTATGTCTGCGCACCAAGACACAGGAAGAGAAAGTTCAAAATGTGGTTTAGAAAAAAAAAAGCAAAAGAACGAGACAGAAGAAGGATGTCATGTAAAACTATAAACTATGAACTTCAATGTTATCAGATGTCTATCAAATAAGAGCAGATAAGTTTGGAGATAAGCAAGAAACTGTCAAATGTTATGCACTAGTCTAGTTCATAAACTCTAACAGAAACAGAACAATGATTAAATGTCCTATATTAACCTTTCCAGCCAGACGGTATCATATATAATACCTGGGAATATGTTTTATATAACCGCACAGAACTTTCCAACCATAAAAAAATAGAAAAATAGAAACTTAATGTTTTCCCCTTGAAAAGCCGAGAGCTGCGGTTTTCCGAGCATATTTACTTGATATTTTGGACTTCAACCAAAAAGTTGTTTATACATGTTTGCTGTGGGTTTTGTATGAAATAGTGTGATTTTTTTTTTCTTTATTTGTATTTCTGGTGCTGTTGTATCTTCTATTACAGCCATATGAAACAACTACAGCATGCAGATTGTGAAAAAAACAATGTATAACACTTTATTAGGGGTAAAAGGAGGAGTTTTAAAAGCAAATCTAAGAGAAAAATCCAGGCGAGGACAAATGTATTAAAACTGCCCACAGATCTGGAAGGGTAAAGCAAAACTGACTCTTGTGACTCCTCAAAAACAGACCTGCAGTTGTGTTTTGTGTCATTCACACATGTTTGAATAACTTTTATTATTAGTCTGTTTACATCTCCGAAACTCAAAATGCTCTGTTCCACCTTGTGATGTCATGAAGCAGTAGTTTTCACATTATCAGCCAGTGTTATAGTACTCGAGACCAGCCCTGAGACCACTTTTTTACTGTCTTGAGCTCCTCTTGGACTTGAGCGCGTTTGGACTCGGTCTTCTCGGTCTTGTTTCTGTCTTGATGGCACTCGGTTTCGGTCTTGTCTCAAACTTGACATCCGACAAGTGCAAACTTGAAAAAACTTGGAAATGACGAAGATGGTCTTGATTTTGTCTCAAAGGGCCGTGGTCTTGGTCTCGTCTCAGTCTCAGGACCCTGTGGTCTCAGACAGGTCTTGGTTTTGTCTCGGTCTCGGCCCTCAGAGGTCTTGGTCTTGTCTCAGTCTTGGGACCCTGTGGTCTTGGACTGGTCTTGGTCTCGATTAGTGCGTTCTTGACTACAACACTAATAACAGTACTTTTACCTTTAGTTCAGTAGAGTTGTCAACTCCAGGACTGAAATGATCCAAATGATTCTAGTGTAGGTTTACGGAGTTTAAAAACACAGTGGAGCACTTGCACCTGCATTACCACATGACATCACAAGGTGGAACAGAGTGTTTTCAGCCAAAATATGCAGAGTTTGTGTGTTAAACATGTGTGAATGAAACAAAACACATTACTACAACTACAACGACATTAGAACAGAGATCAGAGAATACAGAACCTTCAATATGAAATACTGAATGTCTTCTGTAGTTATGACACGTTTGTCCAATTATTTATAAAATTTTAAAGTAAGTGAATAAACACTTTTGCTTTATAAAAACCAGAAGCTTTGCAGTTATTAGAGACCACCCGAGACGTCATCAGAGTTACACTAACAATTTAACAGATGAATAAATCTTATGGTCTGATGATTCATGCTGAAAACTTTAACCACAATTTGAAACAGAAACTCAATCTCTCCAAACAAATGTGAAAAATGTGTGAGTGCAGAGAGCCCCTGTTCACTGCTTCATGGGGACAATGGACCATATGGGACCAAAGACCAGACCAAAGACCGGACCAAAGACCATAGGCCGGTCCAGGCTTAGTCCAGGGCTGGGACCGGGCTTAGACCAAAGAATAGACCCTCGCTCTGGGGGATTTAGAGAGGCCAGGCTCTGACACAGAACTGAACTCTGTAAACATCACAACATCACACCTGCAGCGGACCAATGCCAGCCCGGAGATCTGTTTAGGTTTAGTACAGCATCAAACTATTGGGAATATAACGAAACATCCCTCGATACGACATGTTCACAGTTTGTGGAGGCTGATAAAATTGTTACTACTTTTTCCTTTTAAAAGCCTTGGAAAGCCTTTGGTCCTGTTATAACATGAAGAATGAAGCTTTTAAAGTGCTTAATAACAATAGGCTCTGTTCACGCTTATGTCACAAACCACGAAGACGTTTGGAAAGATGTGATTACAACTTCTGGTATAACTACTCTAATCGACACTGGACTCGCCGACAGACAATTGAAGTAAATGTAGATGAAGACTGCATACTAGGGGTGTAACGATATCCAAGTCTCATGATACAATATTGTCAGGGAACATTATTTATTGCAATATCGTTGGAAAGCTCACGATATGGTGGGGAGGCTCACGATTAGGGATGTAACAATATCCAAATCTCTCAGCACAATATTTTTATAATACACATCTCACGGTACAATATTTATTGCAATATTGTGTAGAGGCTAAACAGCTAAAACTGTAAATATGCTACTTTTTCCTCTTAAAATGCCTTGACAAGACTTAATCTAAAGAACTAAGACTTAAAAGTGTTAAAACTGTTATTTCTTCTTGTAGTCTGCACTGAAATGGAGCAAAGGATCATGGTCTATGTAGTTTCCTCTGTCTTTTTTTAGTCAGTGCTGAACCAGAACTCTTCATTTAAACAAAGACTTGTCATTTGATATATTGTGATGATCCACGATATTATTGTGAGAACTTTGACGATATAATATCATGATATTTTGGTTATTCTTACATCCCTGTTGCAGATGTATGTGCTGTTTGGAATCATCTGGAGTTTGGCCTCATCTCTTCTAATCACATGTACCAGTGCACTCAGTGTTGTGTGTCAGTGGAGAAATGATGAAAACTGAGGGATGGTTGGAATTGTTGATGAGCCGAACATAACGAAACACTACAATGACATGGAGATGAAGAAAACTGGGACATTTTCTCATTTTTCCTAGAACAGAACCCACCGGAAGTTGTAATTGCATCTTTCCAAGTGTCTTCCTGGTTTGTGACGTGTAGTCTGCACTGACAACACCAAAGGATCATGGTCTATGTAGTTCCCTTTGTTTTTTAGCTATAACTGCATCATGTTGAGGCCAGGCAAGTTTATTTGTATAACACAATTCGTACACAAAATAATACAAAGTGCTTTACAGAATAAGAAAGACATTAAAATCATAAAGAAAGACATGAAAATCAAAACAGAGACTTGTAATTCAATATATTGCGATGGCCTCTGATATTATTGTGAGACTTTCGATATCATGATATTTCGGTTATTGTTAAATCCCTACAAATGATCTTTATAAATGACATATATTTATTTCTATATTCAGAATCTGCACAAAGTTTAGCCATAACTGATTCTTTTTAAAGGGGATGTCTCTGAGCCAGTACAGATATATTGTCAAAGCAGCTTTAGGCTCAAAATCGGATCGCCATGTGCTGTCTGCTTTTAATTATAAAGCAATTTTATCTTCCGCGAACCAGGACGTAAGGCTGGAACGCTGTTAGCATGCTAGTTGTTGTTAGTTGTTGTGAAAACTGCTTTTAAATACAGTTAGGATGCTCTGAATTCATAAGGTAAGAGGAATAACTTTGGACCCCTGCAAACTATTTACAATGAACTATTATACAAAAAAAACTAAATCAGGTACGACGCCTTTATATAGACAGATATTATTATTCTTTTATGATTGTAGTTAATAAGGTTTTGTCAGACTTACATTGAAGGGTTCACTGGAAACAGGATCCACCCACTCAATGCCTTCAGAACGACAGGTGACTCTGCTCTGGCTCTCAAACTCCTTCAGCTACAAACAAACAAACAAACCAACAAACAAACAAACAAACAGTATATTTAAAGGTGCACTGTGTAACTTTTCAGGTAGAAGGTCCAACACCTGCTTGTCTCCTTGAAGATGATATTACTTTGTTTGAAAAGTTTCACCGTGGCCACGTTTACATGATGTTTTTAATTCCAAATGAAATAGTTTTTAAATAAAATATTCTCCTTCGAGTTTACATGGAAATTATAATTTGGAATTAAGGTGTACGTGGAAAACACGTTAAATCGTCTTTATTTAACTGGGCTCAACATCTGGGAGTGGGGAAGGTTCTGATTGGGGCGCATGAAAGTATTTACATCTACAGGAAGAAACACACACACACTCCCACATCCCGCTCACAAATCCAAAGAGACGTGGATGAAAGTCCCAAACCAGGACTGGTGGAGCCGGACCCAGATCGTCCGGATCGCGTCAGAAGAGCGACACAACGAACATGCGCTGAACAACCCACATTATTTTTAACAAGAATATATGTTTACATAATCCAGGAAGAAATGAATTTGACTTTAAAATCTGAATAAGCCATCCACTTACTTCGGAATTAAGTTTAATTCTGAATATCATCATTTTCATTACGAATGAAGTGTTTACATGTTTTTTGTTTTTTTAAGCTGAATAAATTTGTATTCAAAATTTAATGGGTGGGAAGTGTGACATTAAATGTATCTACCTGCCATTCATTCAATCATGGGTGTTTTTATTATCTCAGCATTTATCTCAACGTTATCTCGGCATTATCAGTATCTTGGTCTGGTGGCACCTCCTGCTTGTTTCCATGGAGATAGTCCAGTTTAATATCATACTGTGAAACATTCCAAGCAAAAGCAATTTTCTATCATCATGGAGACAAAGATGCAGGTATCCCCTCTAGAAAATGACATAAATAACCTTTAATACATGAAGTTTGGTGTGCTAGTACCTGTGGTCAATATTTATCAGTTTTACATCAGTTAAGTGTCAGTTTGTGAAAAAATGTTAAGAAGAAAAGGACAAAAATACAGGAAGTAGCACCGAGATGTAAATTAGAATAACTTTACCTATGTCAGCACTGAAGGGACAATTCACACATTCACACATTTTTCTGACTGAAAATGGATTTAACGAAACAAAGCTGTCATTGTCATTGCCATTTATTTTTATTAGTCTAATCAAAACTTTTAAGCAATTTAGGAACATTTTGGCTGTTCTTAATGTTATGGTTGCTCGGTAACAGTTATGAAATTACCTCTGTGTGTGTCATAACATGAAGAACAATTACAAACTTCACCAAAGTTAAAGAGCTAGATAATGATGTTATGAGGTATGGTTTAGTGGAATGAGCAGTCTACTCTGTCAAACGCATTTAAAGCAGAATAAAAGTGTAAAATGGGTTTGCTTGTGTTCGTACCCGGGCCAGAGCTTCTTCTATAGAGATCATGTTCTCCTTCACCATCATCATGAGCTGGATCCTCTCCTCGTCGCCCATGGTAACCTCCGACGCCACAAAGCCCACGTCATCTCCTGAAACACAATGGCATTATTATTGCTTTTACCCCATTTAACCCAATAAGGGAGTGTGACAGGAAGCAAAAAACCGTGAGCACATTACCCCGATTTAAGCGTCACTGCACACTTTCCAGTTCGTTTTAGGATTGATTTTAAAATTTTATTGTTTGTTTTTAAAGCTTTGAATGGACTGGCCCCACGTTACATCTCGGATCTCCTTCAAATTTACTCCCCTGCGTGTGTTTTCAGGTCCGAGGGTCAAATCCAGCTCGTGGGGCCTAAAACAACACTTAAAACCAAGACCTTCTCTGTGACTGGCCCCAAACTCTGGAACACTCTGCTCTTTTTAATCTTTATATTATTTATTGGTATTCATGCTCTTATTTGATTTGACTAGTTTTACTGTTTTAATGAGGACTAGTGGAGTTAAATAGAGATTTATTTTATGTTTCTATCGGATTTGTTTTGTTCTGTGTGACTGTTTTGTTTATGTATATGCTGTGAAATGTGCTGTAAAATAAAGTGGATTAGATTGGATTGGAATGAACGTACTTGAAATACATGCTGTAAACAAGCTGGATTGTGGAAGGCTCATTTCTATCTGTTGTTCTCTCATTCATACACCAGTGTACTTTAACGCTGGAGGTGGATTTAAGTGTTTTGCCTAAGGACACAACAGTAGTTCGTACTAGAGCCACTGTGACCCACTGTGGCACCTAGTATTCCCAGAGGTCTCCCATCCAAATTCTAACCAGACCCAACCATGTTTCACTTCAGAGATCTGACGAGATTGGAGATTCACGTGACATGGTTATTTTAACACTTAAACGCCCAAACAAGTTTGTTAAGAATATTTAATTTTAACAGGTACGTAACAATAACCGAAGTCTCTCTATAATCTCATGGGGCATCACAATATATCGAATTACAAGTCTCTTTGATTAAATTCATGGTTATGGTGCAGCATCAGCTCAAAAAGTCGAGGGAACTACATAGACCATGATCCTTTGCTTCCTTTAAACACATTAAAACAGCATGAAGAATGAAAAGGACAATCAAGGCATTTTAAAAGGAAACAGCAGAATATTCACAATTCGGCTGGACTCCATGAAACACAAACAACATCGCACTGTGACATGCATATCGTGGAAATATCGTATCGAGGGATTTGGATATCGTATCTCTAGATTTTAAAGCAGGCATATTAAACTTTTTACTTACTACATATATGCGTTTTCTGTTTTATTTAGGTTTTCTATTTTTTGTTTCCATGTTATTTGACTTGTACATATACATTTATATAATTATGTTTTATTTCACACCTGTCACTTACTCTTTTTGCTTCTTATTTTGAATTTATTATTACCATTTATATTTTTTCTCTTTGTTATTATATTATATTGATGTGTGAGCTACAGTGTCTGAATAATTTCCCTTGTGGATCAATAAAGTTTAAGTCTAAGTCTTATGTTCTAACAGTCTTCCTCTTCATTAGTTTAGCTGCTGTGCCACAATGGAGATTCTCACTTCTGTAGTTTTGAACAGGAAGTCCACACCGCAGTTTCTATAAGTCGTCATTTTAAACCATATCACAGTTTATTATGAATAAAATGTAAAGTTCTCTGGGGTTTT